TGGTTTCATGACGACTCCACTCCCTCCCAGGTGAGAAGCCAATTTGCTTGCAGCTTAACTAATGAAGGTCGGCGCCTTTCTCTGACGCAGCCCTGGGCCCCCAGATGAATAGGTGTGATGCTCAGTGTCAAGTGTTTGCGGCAGCGAGGACTTGACGGGGAGGTCCCTGGTCACCTGCTTCTCTTTCCCGCCCGGCCGCAGGTTCCGCTGCATCGTGCACCCTTTCCGCGAGAAACTGAGCCTGCGGCAGGCCCTGGCCACCATCGCGGTCATCTGGGCCCTGGCCCTGCTCATCATGTGCCCCTCGGCCATCACGCTGACGGTGACGCGCGACGAGCACCACTACATGGTGGACGCGCACCGGCGCTCCTACCCGCTCTACTCCTGCTGGGAGGCGTGGCCCGACCGGCGCATGCGCCGGGTCTACACCACCGTGCTCTTCTCGCACATCTACCTGGCGCCGCTGGCCCTCATCGTGGTCATGTACGCCCGCATCGCCCGCAAGCTGGTGCAGGCGCCGGGGCCTGCCCGGGACGCGGGCGAGGAGGCGGCGGCGGCGGGCGGGCCGGTGGGCCGGCGCCGGGCGCGCGTGGTGCACATGCTGGTCATGGTGGCGCTGGTCTTCTCGCTGTCCTGGCTGCCGCTCTGGGCCCTGCTGCTGCTGCTCGACTACGCGCCGCTCAGCGAGCCGCAGCTGCACCTGCTCACCGTCTACGCCTTCCCCTTCGCGCACTGGCTGGCCTTCTTCAACAGCAGCGCCAACCCCATCATCTACGGCTACTTCAACGAGAACTTCCGCCGCGGCTTCCAGGCCGCCTTCCAGGCCCGCCTCTGCCCGCGGCCGTGGAGCAGCCACGGCCAGGCCTACTCGGAGAGGCCCGGCGGGCTCCGGGCCAGGCGGGTCCTCGTCGGGGTGCAGCCCAGCCACTCGGGCCTGCCCTCGGAGTCGGGGCCCAGCAGCGGCGCGCCCCGGCCTGGCCGCCTCCCGATGCGCAATGGGCGGGTGGCACACCTTGGCTTGTCCCCAGAGGGCCCTGGGGGCGCCCGCATGCCCCTCGCCATCCCAGCCTGGGATATCTGAGGTGGGGGAGGGCAGGGAGGCCAGGCCTGGTGTCTGGGAAACTGCCTGGAAATGTGGTGTCGATACAGCAGGACGTATGATTCAAAAATCCAAACACATTTTCCTAGAGTGGATTCTGGGTCATGGCAACCCTGTGCCCCCCAGAAACGGGCCTGTGTCTGGTGGGTTTTCTCTGTTGTCTTCGTCCTCTCAGATGAAGGGGCGTGGGAAGACGCCAGCATCCTTGAAGCTCTTCTAGGTGGTAGTTAGACTTGCCAATCATGATCTCCTTGAATTCTCACCACCCTTTGAAAAGGGATTTCCTTATCCCCCTTCTACGGATGAGGAAACTAAGGCCCAGAGAAGACACCTGACCCGCCAGAACTCTCTCGGTTGGGAATCTCACCAGTGCTGAGCTGACTCCAATGATGTGTGGCCTTGGCCATCGGCAGTTGGCTCCCAAGGGCCTGCTGAGATGGAGCCAGGTCAAGTGTGTTGATCCTCACAGATAGCGGTAGCTGCAAAGAGCAAAGCCAGCCTGTCTGTTGGATGCTTTGGGCATGTGTCCTGGGGTCGCTTGACTTCTATTCCTGAAGCCCTTTGACCCTCTCCTGAATGAGCGCCGTGTGCCCCTCCCGCCTGCTCTAATGCATGGCTTTGTCTTGTGTGTTCTCCCTAAAGCATCACAACAGGACATCACAAGGGGGGCGCAGCCCCAGAATGAGCCCTCAGGAGCCCCGGCTGCCCCCGCTTTTTGCTGGGCTCTCTGGGTCTGAGCCTCGAGCAAGAAAGAGGGGCTTTCTTCCCCTGGCTGGTCCTGGTAGGATGCACTCCCCTCGCAAGAGTTACAAGGCCACGTGGGGATATTTATGTATTCATGCAGCAGGGGGAAGGGAAAGCTCAGCGGCCCCACTCCCACAGATGGAAATATAACTGCTCCCTGAAGCCTCAAGTTCAAGGCCTTCCTTCTTTTAATTTTAATAAGTCATTTTATTGGGGCCCTTACAGCTCTTATAACAATCCATACACCAATTGTATCAAGCACATTTGTACATTTGTTGCCATCATCATTTCCCAAACATTTTCTTCCTGTTTGAGTCCTCCGTATCGGCTCCTCTTTTCCCACCTCCCTCCTCCACTCTCCTGCCCTTGTGAACCCTCAATAATTGATCAATTATTTTTATTTTCCTATTTTACACTGTCTGCATCTCCCTTCACCCATGTTTCTTCTTGATGTTAGTATGCTGTATGCATCATTGGGCTTGGGCTGTCCCCTGCCTGTGTGCCTGTCCCTCAACCTGTAAATTATGTATTGAGTAGTTTTTCTTCTGATCCCACTGTGTTGATTGGACCTACCTCAGTGGACTCATCTTGTACTTGTCCTTTTGTGCTTGGCTAACTTCGCTTAGCATAATTTCCTCCAGCTCTTCCCATGAAACAATGTGCTTCGTGTGCTCATCACTGTTTTTTAGGGATTCGTGGTCCTCCATTGTGCGTATGTGCCAGAGTTTTCTAATCCACTTGTCTATCAATAGAAATTGAGGTTGTTTCCAGATCTTTGCAATTGTGAATTGTGCCACAATAAACATTGGAGCACCGAAGATTAGTCGCGGTCTATTTCTTACTGCTTCTGGGTATCTGCCCAATAGGGGGGTTGCTGGGTCATAAGGTAGCTCAGTTTCCATTTACTTTAGATATCGCCAGATAGCTTCCCACAGTGGCTGTGCGTATCTACAAGACCACCAGCAGTGGATGAGAGTTCCTATCTCACCACATCCCCTCCATCATTTGTTGCTCTCTGGTTTTTTGAACCTCAGGAGTGTTAGGTGATATCGCATAGTTGTTTTAATGTGCATTTCTCTGATGGCTAATGGTCATGAACATTTTCTCATATGTTTATTGGCCATTTGGATTTCCTCCCTGATGAAGCTTCTGCCCACCTCCTCAGAGAGCTCTCCGATTTTTTCTTGTTGCAGCTATTAGGGGATTGCATATTTTAGTAATAATCCCTTTGTCTGAAGTGTCATTGCTAAAGATCTTCTGTTTCTCTTATTACTCTCTTGGTGAAGCCTTTCGATGCACAAAGGTGTTCTATCCTTAATATATTACCACTTGTTAATTTCAGTTAGCCTAAGGATTTCCTGTGCCAAAGTTCTCAGGTTTGTCCTGATTCCTTCGTTGATGACCCTAGTATATTGGGGTTTTACTTCCAGGTCTGTGCTGCACCTTGAGTTTGTTCTTGTACTTGGGGTGAAGTAAGGGTCTTGCTTCATTTTTCTGCAGGTATATTCCATTTTTTCCAGCACCACTTGTTGAAGAGGGCATCTGCTTCCCATTTGATGTTTTGGGGGGCTTTATTGAAGATCAGTCTATAGGCTGTGGGCTTTATTTTTAGGTTTTCTGTTCTTTCCCATTGGTCTGAGTATCTGTCATTATACTAGTACCATGCGGTTTTGACCACTGCGGCTGTGTAGTATGCTTTAAAGTCAGATAAAGCAAGCCCTCTGACTTTGTGTTTCTTCTTGAGGAGTTCTATGCTAATTCTAGGCTTCTTCCCTCTCCATATGAAGTTGGTAGTCAGTTTTTCCATTTCTTTGAAGAAGGTTGTTATTTGTATTGATATAGCATTAAATTTGCATAGTGCCTTGGGTAGGATTGACATCTTTAGTATATTGAGTCTTCCAATCCATGAGCATGGGATCTTCTTCCACTTGTGGAGGTCACTTTTGGTTTCTTGTAGTAGGGGTCTATAGTTTTCCTCGTACAAATCTTTTGTTTTTTTTTATTAGATATATCTCTAGGTATATCAGTTTGTGCTTGGCTATTGTGAAGGGCACTGTCAAGGCCTTCCTTAAGGCCTCTCCTCCCTACTCCCTGGGAGGGAGAAGTTGACTAACTGAAGCCACAGCCAGGTGCCCCTTGAAGGACAAAGATGAACCCCCGCTCCAGTGTGAATGACGGCTCAAACTCCCCCCAAAAGAAGGGGGTAGGTAATGTCAGGTTCACTCTGGTCCTCACCCAGCCCCCCTGTATCACCTTCTCTCCAAGAGCTGAGGATCTGGGAGCTCATGGGGGGGGAGGCAGGGATTCCTTGCACAGCCTCAGTAATTGGACCCTTTCCACCATTATGGACAACAAAGGTTGCTAGACATTTAGTGAATAAAGAAGAGCTAATTTCCAGGGATCAAAGCAGAGAATGTGAGTCAGAGTCTCTGTTTGTTTCCTTCATTGATACCCAATGCTTAAACTTTGATACTCCACTCTTAAGTATGGAGTTGAGGAGCAGAGGCAATTCCTACACAGCTGTGTAATGTTTTCTCCAAGCAGGTGTCCAGTTCCTATCTCATTTGATTCATGGAAGTGAGACTGAGGGGCCAGATGTTATGGTTGCCATTTCATAAACATTGTAATAGAGGCTCAAAGGGGCCAAGGTCACAGGGCCACAGAGGGACAAGGTCGGCATTGGAATTCGCCACTGGCAATGTTCTTCCCACACTGCATCGCACTGCCTTCCTACATTGGGCTAGTTGAGCATGACCAGGAGGAGGGCTGCAGATGCTGCCACAGTTTTTTTGTTTTGTTTTGTTTTGTTGCCTAATTGTGAACAAGATCACCCACAAAACCAGACCTTTCACCCCAAGTTCTTGGGTCTAGAAATGACTCTTCAGTGTTCTCTCTTCTTGTTGTCATTTCTGCCCTGAGCTGTTTTGTGGACACTCTCCAGACAGCTGTGTGGAGCAAGACCAGGCTGCCAACATCCATCATGACCTCTGCAGACCCAAGTGTCTTAGGAGAGAGTGCGCCAGCCTGTCTATTGAGTGGTCATAGCTGGTGCCTTGGGCCTCATTTCTGGTACTAGCCGCTGTAAGTTAGAATCAACTTGGCATTGATAAGTTTACCAATGTCCTGACTGTTTACAGAATTCTGGCCCCAAGCTCTAAAAATGAATCAGAAAAAAAAAGGGCCATCGCAACCCCAAAATACCTGTCCCTGTGGCTGGGTGGGGTCTGTCTGGAGACACTGCCTGGTCTCTCTTTTTGCATGGCATCCTGAACCACAGCCTCTCGGGCTGGGGGAGCCCACAGCGCGCAGTCAAGCCAGCAGTAGTACCACTAGGGTCCTACTAGGGTCCTTTTGTTAGTAGTGAGACTACGAACAAAAAATGCACAGTC